TAGAAGGCCAAAAGATGTATGTGAGTAGAGAAAACTTGATTTGCTTGACGAATACACTCCTTTGTTTACTGCTAGTGCAAATCATTGTTGTCACCATTGATTAATATGTCATCATAATTATTGGTTATATAAATGTTAACCTCACAACTTGTTCATCATAAGCTGCTAACTTTATTTGTCTGATTAATAACAGATAAAGAGTGGAATCATATTGCCATCTGATGTTGCTTATGTAAGTACGATGCTTAGAAATGTTTTATTGAATAATATCTGAACTGACCTTCCCTTAGCCCATGTTTGTGTCTTTTGTTTGAGCTGGTTGAAACTAGCTCTCACCAAACCACCATGTAATACTTTTATTATCACTTCAGGGAAAATGCTCTTGGCCGGTTTTTCCAGAAATCACAAAGTGTTCCTTTCTGTTTCTCTCTAAAAAATGTGTCGACTTTGGGCCAAGCGCTCATTTTACTGCAGACTTGTTCTGAGCTGCATTTGATAAAGGTTTATTATTTTCTCTTCTTTAATAAATATATATACAGTATATACAACTTTTTGTTAATTTACTTTATTGTAGATTTCCACAAAATGTTTCCAGACACGAATAAATGAACATAACGTGTGCAACCAATTTGAAATGGCAGATGGAAAATTGTGTAAAACAAACAGCATATTATAATATTATGATATTTTATTTGTTGCAGTGTTTATGCTTGGCTTCATGCCTTTCAGTCTGCAGCTTAAAACAAACTAGATCTGACAGAATAAGGATAGTCTTTGCTGATGTGAGCATTGTACATTAGGCAAAAGCTTAGCTAATTGTCCCTTTTAGGCTGTATAATTTAACAGTTTTCCATTTTCATCCAGCTTTTTTTAATATATTGCATAAAACTGGGTTTTCATGTAGAATCTAGAAAAAGGGTTTCATGACCTTTATGGATTGCTAAAGATCAAATTGTGGCAACTATCTATTGTTCTTTCATGCAATGATAATCAGCCAGTATGTAAGATGCCTTCACTGTCAGAAAGAACTAGTAAATATGAGACCGGTCAAGCTGGAAAACAAACAGAATATTGAGAGATGTTAAGGATGCTCAGTGGCGCAGACAGGCAAAGTTGGCAATTTAATGGAATTGTGCATCCTCAAAATGTGACATGCTTTTCTAGTTTGGGGTGGCAGACTGATCTGTGGGTGGCAAAATGAACTTTTGTCATAGTCGTTCACAGTTGTGTTGATTTCACAGTCAATAGAGTCAGTGAAGTCTTTATTTCCACAACATCAGCCCTGTGCCCTCACACTCTTTTATTCGTTTAAGCGTAAAAAAAAAACATGATTTAGTTTTTTGCTCAGACACACCCGAAGATGTTGTGTTGTCGCTGTGTATTAGTGGTGAGCGCTAGCTGATGTGCCCCTTCAAAGTGTCTGTAGACATCTTGAAAATTGTAATAGTTCACAATGAATTATTAATGGATCATGAATAACACTTTGTTTTAGGATGTTTTGCTGCTATGATAGCTGTTGTACATGCTGCAGGTTTGCACACAGTTTTTGCTGAAATCTCTGTTTTTCTCTGTTTAATATTTCCAAGTTGTTTGTCAGAGAATACTCATTTTCTGATACTTAGCTTAATGCTTCTCAGGGGCACAGGGGGCATCAACCTATCCCAGCTTATGAGGCCGGGAGACATTGTGCCCGGCCTGTTTACACTGATACTCTCATTAACACCTACAAATAATGTAGAAACCATCCCTATTGCCACTGTTTAATCTCTGCAGCCCCATTTCATTCAAGTTTTATCTGATCTCTGATCTGATCAAGGTGATTTGGCTTATGCATTATACAGAAGTGTGCCTCTCACAGGTCACCCAGTGATCCAGCTTCAGGCGATATAGCAAGGCCAGTCGGTTTTGCAGGCCAGCATGAGGTCTGCTGCAGAGTGCTGGAGCCACTCGTGCTCTGATGATGATGCGGACATGGCTCACCGGGGGACTGATCTATGAGCCAAGCCCCTCACTGCCCCTGGTGAGACACCCGGGGGCAAGGCCGAGGCAGCTCTGTGAATTACAGAACGGTGAAATGAAAATAACGTATTTAATGGTGTAGTCCAGATACAGCTTTCATACCTTATTATTAGTTGATATGTTACTTGTCATGCTGTTGTCTCCCTGAATTCTTCAATTAGCATGCGAGAGTTGCTCTGGAGCTTTGGGGCTACATTCCAGGTATGTCTCCATCTCTCTGCTTCTCTCCAGAGAGGTTACAGACACCTATAGCTTTGAAGGTACAAAAACAAAATGCATCGCGGGGTGCCCTTTGACCAAGCAGCCCATTACTGGCTTCATACAGATCCATGCTGTTATTGTTCCTCAGCTTGGAGTTACTGCTAGATAGATCAGTAGACCAGAATATAACCACTGGAAACAAAGACAATGTTGACCTTTATGAATAGTTGTGTGTAGAGGTGTGCAGCTGCAATTATAACATACAGATTGGGCAACCACACAATCAGATGCAATTATAAAACAGCTTTGGAGCCTGTAGATATTGCCATTCCATTAAACAGAACTATATTTACCAGACATTTTTTCTAGTTCTTTCTTATGCTCCGCCTTAAATTTGTCGCAGTTGTGCAATTACCCCCTACTATACAGTAGGAAACCGAAGAATTCAAGGTGTATCCGAGCAACTCGAGCATATACCTTTACTTTTATTATGAAGGAACATTGTGAATGCAACAATACTTGGCTATTACGGTACTTACAATTCACAGTTGTTAGCCCCTATGTACACCAAGGCCACTGAGGAACACCGTATTGACTGACAGACGTTTTTCATCTGAAGCATTTTACGAAAGGTCTGACTTGCTGCCAGTATTACAGATTGAAATGAACGTGTTCCTCTGTTAACAGTTTTGAGGCTAGAAGAACATATACATTTTTTTCAAAAAGTAAAATAAATTGCCACTTCAGCCAGTGAAAAAGTATAAATAATATGTCCCTAATATTCTTCACGTATATATTTATTTGTTGGTTTTACCTCAAATCAACTTCATGGAATTGAAACACTGCCAAATGTTACTGTCTAATGAAAGTAAGGATGATAGTTTATAATTCCAACCCTTTACTTGCATACAAGAAAAACATAAAGGTTGTTTATTTTTTGTTTTAACAGATTGCAAAGATCATCAGAGTTCACAGAAGTGACATTTTCTTTCAGCCTAAATGAACAGAAGTATTGTATTCGGGACTTGCATTTGGCAGGAAATGCATTACTTGTGCCACTTGCGGACTTATTTAGATGCTTAAAAGCCCCTGTGGCTGAACATAGTGTACTGTAAGTGGGAAAAACAAGGCGACATCTACACATTTTGAACACAGAACAGAAAGTGCACTAAAGTAGAAAAGCTCAATATCACCTGTAGTGAAATGTTGAAAAAAACACATTTTCTAGGCAGAAATATAGATACAGACAAATAGCAATCAGGGTTGACTGCTTTGCAAAGAAAAACCATAAAGTAAGAAGATGAATTATGTTATTACTTTTTCTTACATTCATACATTTTGTATCAGTACATTTGATAGAGATTTGTGTAAATGTATTGGCTGAATGCAATAGGTTTAAGGAATTGACTGTTACTGTAAGATATCCTATTGGTTATTTTTTACTGATTTCTTTGGCTAATGCTCAGATCTAAGAATTACATGCCACAAGAAAACAAATGTTATAAAGCATAAAAAATGCCTGGTGGCAAGTCTGATTATTTAATGTTGTTATTGTATAATTACTTTGAACCATTGCCTCTGTTTGCTCTGATGAAGGCATACACACTGAGCTTTAATTGATCATTACGCTGTTGTGAAATATTGAAGGTGAAGGGTCAAGGTACTACTTCTCTTTACACAATTTGTTTATGCCATTATTTAACACTGCTATTGTAAACATGTCATTTGGCAAAGTTATTAAAGGAAGAAATATGAAACCTGCAAAATACCACCTGAAATGTTTATAAATAGGCTACTTAACATGTAGGCTTTGTGGAACTTGGAGAATGCGTTAATGAGAACATTAAGGTCAAGTGTATTAATGAAACTCCCATAACTTATTCATGTTTAAATAAAAAGGATTAACACACCACAATTGATCATAATTAGGTGGCTTTGTCTTACCATTGTTCTTCCCCACAGCTTCAATGCTCTTTCCTGTCTCTCTTCACCTCTGTGTTTTTGTGCTTGACACACCTGGAGGAATGTAGGCCACACACACACACACGCACGCACGCACACACACACACGCACGCACACACACACACACACACACACACACACACACACACACAGCAAGTATGAACATCACATTCCTACTCGAAACTGTTTGTGCTTACTGTACACTTCGACATCGTGTGCCACTATTAAAACAGAGCTAGAGTTCAGAAATATATGATAATTCAGTGAATTTGAAGTTACAATGCTGGGAACACATAGCGCCATCAACAATCTCTTAAGATGCTCCTTGATAATGAATGGAAGTATAATGCTACAGTATTTTAGCCAATGGGTATTATCAAACACTATGCAGGAAATGCACTTCATTTGAAGCGGTTTTCTGGCAAAAAAAAATTCTATAAAAATATGCTTCATTATGATGTGTGTCACTGAAAGGTTTCTCAGTGCCGAGAAGATACAGCAGAAAGAACACGAAGAACAAGTTTGGGTGGGCTCTCCTCCGTGGGTTCGCTTCATTAAGTGCAACGGGCAGTCCGGTTTAACAGATACGTCAGTCGTTGAAGACAAGAAGAAAATAAAAGGCTGACTCCTCACGTAATTTGATTGAAAAAGATAATGTAAGTAAAGAGAAAAATATTGAATGATAGCAGTCTTCATAACTGTGTTTTTCACACTGTTCCGCCCACCAGTCGTATTTCGGGACACTCAGGTTTACGTAAACAAACGCACCCCACTGCGCATCACGGATATGACGTCAGCGCGCTGCAATTCAAACTTCAGGAAACGAAAACGTTTGGTTAGAAAACGGTCTTGTTGTTACTGACTAGTTTCACTGGATATCTTCACTTCGCTTCATATGTAAGTGTATTTTCTCATGTATTACTCACCGCCAGTAATGTTGGCTTTAATGTGTTTGTTATAAAATACACAGCGTGAAATTAAAACGATGTATCGATAGTTTATTAAAAGCGTTCAACTAAAGACAGGTGCGAGGATGTGTGTTACGTTCAGGAACTGTCAGTTTCATTGTCGAGTAATCTGTGTTATTGATGTTTAATTTAAATATACATTAATGTCCACAAAAGGGGATACATGTTGGTGAAATGTGCTTGTAAATGAATGTAAAAACCAACGTCTATTTACTTGAAAGACTCCAACTTTGATTTAGTGACAAATATGTAAATTGTTCTCCCAATGTACACTACTGATCTGCATACTTTAATATTATTCATGACGTTTATTATACAATCTGTCAGTTAAGTTGGGATATTTCACAAGGGTGTTTCCATTCAGTTGTATTATTTTTTATCCAAATCATTTCAGGCAATATAATACACATCCGGTGCATTTTACTTCAGTCTGTAACATTTATTTTTTCCTTCTAGAAGTCCAGGTAACTTCCTTACCACCTAACAAAGAAGCCATGTCTAAAGGAGCCAAAGAGACCATCGTCACCAGGTTGGGCTTCAAATCCAGCAGCTCCGCTTCCAAGGCTGAGGCAGAGCTGGAGAAAGTCAGGAAGGAGAACGCTCACCTCAGGAAAAAGATTGATGAACTTGCCAAACGACACATCAAACCCCCTGACTCAGACAAAAGCAAGCTGCTGGAGGTAAATACATGTTTATTTGTAAGGTGTATTGAGGGATTTAACTTCAGGAATATCTTCATGTCTGTTTATCTGTTTCCCTTGTTTTGTATTTTAATGTTTACATATTTCCTTCATGTCATTCCAGAGGATCCTGTCCCTTGAGACGCTGCGAGAGAGAAACAATCAGCAGTTGCTTGTTAAAGAGCAGGATCTAGACACAATGAGACGGCAGCTGTCAGCTAAAGGAGGAGAAGTATGTACACATGACTCATCTTCTGCACAAATGTAGGGTTACACAAATCCAATGTATCAGTACAGTATATCTATACATCTGAAAGCATGGACTCACAGAAAGACTGATTTGGAGTAATTCTGCCAATGTTGAAGAGATATACCTAGAGCTGTGTCTTTGAGACTGCTCCCCAAGTGGTAAAGATGTGCTGCACATTCGGCATTGTATTGCTGGCATATGTAATGCTGGCAGCTGAAAACTGTCAGGAAAAAAAATATCATGCTCTCACTGAGCTGCCAAAAAACACAGTTGGGGGGGAAATAGCTTCAATCCCATATCTGACAGCAACTCAACTAAGCGACGTTTAGACAGCCAGCAAAATATGCATACTAACATATGCTGTTCACTTGATATTTATAAACCAGCTTTCTCCTACTGTTATGCCTCTGTGTTCATGACGCAGCTGGATACATTGATGCTGTTTAGTTGAGGTTGTTGTTGCTAATCATTGTGAAATCTCTTTCTGTTGTTGAAGAAATCATTTATTAATTTAGGCTACCTGCGAGGCGATTCTGGCTAAAACTTGGAAATTGCATGCTGGGAAATGGATTATGAGCTGCTGGTTTATACCACATATTTTTGAATGTTTCATTCAATTAAATCACATTAACTTCTTTCTCAACAAAAGTGCTAAAACCTGCTCAGTGGCCAATACCAGCAGAGTGCCAGCCATGTAATGCCATTTGTGTGACGCAGATAATTGATTTGATAAATGGAAATATCTACCTGCATAAACAAAGAAATAACAGGTTGATGTGTAGACTAGCCGAGGTGTTGTTTATTCAAATTGTTGTGTATTTCAGGTCGTGGCATCCCTGCAGGCCCAGCTGGAGCAGCAGAGGAAGGAGGCCGATCAGAGAGACACAATGTTCCACAGTTTGTCACAGGAGACGGGGAACCTGAAAAACCAGCTGACCACAGTTTCTGCCCGCTGCCAGTCCCTGGAAACACAGGCGACGGTAGGTTGACCACCTAATTGACCCTATACCTGTCTAGATGTTCTCATTAGTTCGGAAGGTTGTCAGTGCCATTCAAGTTTGCCTCCTTTTCCACATAAGCAATTATCTTATTGGGGTAGTGTACCTTCCTAATCATAGTTGTATTTAAAATGTAGCTGTCTGGCTACTTTTTACTGGTACAGGTCATGAATAGAGTTAATGGGGTTATTAGGGTTGCTAATTAAAAAGTCCTTATTCAGTAACTTAAGTTAGTGAAAATTACTCTATGGATTTATTAAAAAACAGTAAAAAAGAATTGAAAAACGTACATTTGTTCTGTGCCTCCGATTCCAAAATAATCTTAACACCCCCCCCCTTTCTTATCTACAGCGTAAATGCCGCAGAGAAATTGTTTTCACATTACTTTTTGTCACATTTTAGTGATTAATTAACATTAGCTCGAGCAAGTGTCAGAACAGAAATCGGTTTTCAAAGGAACAAATAAATATATACGTTGATCATAATCGTTGTGGTATTTGTTTGCCTCTGTTCAGAATTCTGAATACACATGACATTTATTTTGATCAGTAGCTAGTGCACCTTAGATTTGTGTAATTGTATTTTATTGTTATATAATTCTTCAGTGACTCTACTGCATCAGGGCAGGGGTGGTTTATTTTGAAATGCAAATGCAGTTATATCCCCGTCCACTAGGTGGCACTGTGTGACCTTTCATTGTTTTCCTCAGCCGCTGTCTTTACCTCCTCTCCGGAGAATATCCGTAATGAAAGATAAAGCTCTGATAATAGAAGACCAAAAAGGAAATATTGTTAATATAAATACACATGTCAGTCATGGTTGTCCTTGTCAGCCATCCATACCTGTACAATAACACATTGTAGTGAAAGAGAGGGATTATTTAATATACCAGTGGTTGCCACTCCCACACAATTATAGGATTTCCTTCCATTTAAAAAGCAGCTGTGATTCCTCTTCAGCCCTTTGATGCTTTGAGCACAGCGGGCCTTCACTACACTCTCACAGAGCCATCCTCTGTGTTCTACTTTGCTTCTTTACAGCAAAAGGAAGCTTAATCGCAATAATTCAGGAAGTCGGGTGGCTGAGTATCACAGTCGAAACAACTTGGACTTTATTTAAACAAAATTAAGCAAAATATCATGATTTTTTTTTTTACCCATTTTTTCAAAGAGTGGTGCTTCTGCATAATGTCCCTATTTTAATTAAACCTCAAAATGCATTAAGAGCTCTTATTATTACCCTTTGCTCCACATCCTACGAAATCAATTAAACCCTTCATGGTAAAAGCCAACTGCTAAGCCCATTCATCATTCATATTTATTAACAATCAAAACCAACTAATATAGTTCCTGTTGTTACAGTATTGTTTAAAACGTGTCTATAGCCAAAAGAGTGGCAGGATGTGAAGAAAGAAATAAAAAATATGCAGTTCTTTTCCCTACTTGCTTTTGTTTTTCCACCCAAAGGTCACAACAGTGCTGGAAAATACCGTCTTTGAATCTAAATGTTCTCACATGGTCCGTACTTTTAGTCTCAAGGTTGAAAAGTATTAAAAGGCAGCGTGTTATGTATATAAATGGATGGGAATGCTTGTTACTTGTCAGTCCCTATAGATATGGGTGTCTTTCAGGTCCCAGTGCGAGTGGGTGTCCTTATCTTCATGTCTTCTTAATAATGCTCCAGGAACTTTCTGACCCCTCGGCTTAGCTTCTTCAGCATTACTCGACATAATCTGACCGGCAGACCCTGACCCAACCCTTCCTCCTTCCTCCCTTCTCAGGTTTTACATAAGCTAATTGTATGCTTAGCCTATGAGACGAGGGATATGAGTTTGAAATCCATCTGGAAAAAGTTGACGAGCTCACGATGCTTGTCTGGAAGTATGAGGGCTCATAGAGATGATGCCTCCTGTTGTAAAGGGCTTGCTCCAGCTTAAATGTTGACTGGGATCAGACATAAAGACTTAGGGAAAGGTCACAGAATTATGAAATGACTGACTGCTTTCTAGGGATGGATGTCGAGGAACTGGCTTAACGTTGGTGCCTTGGGATATGAGGCCAGGGATTGCATAGATGGATCACTTGCTTAAATGCTTTGTTGAAAATAAAGACAATGAATAATTCAAACCAGCTAGGAGGGATTTTAAGCTTGTGGTAAACCTACCGTTTTTACTGTCTGTCTGATTTTGTTTGCACACAATACACATAAGTACATAGTACGTTGTGGTATATCGGCGCAGAGGCCATCAGTGCTGTCTGTAATTTTACTTAAACTTAGATCCCTCTGAGAGCCACCTCCACAACAGCAACACGACCAGAATAACAAACGAAAAAGTGCCAGACAGCGGTGCATTGTATTCATTTCTTTTGTTGAAGCCACTACTGTGTTTTTCAGGCATAGGGTTTTATTTGATTGTTTTTCTCTCTACAGAATGGACAGGTGCCTCCTGCAGACTTGGCTTTGGTTCAAGATCAACTGAGAGACGTAAGTCCATTCGATGATTAACTAAGTTTGTTTGTGTGTGTGACTTTTTTCCTCTATTTTAGTACGCACATTCTTAATATGTTGAAAATTGCCTTTGTACCAAAGCTTTATATCTGAAATATTGTATAATTCTGCAATATATTTGAAACATGTCTTTTCATTGCACCCTGTTCATGGACAGTGAAATAATGCTTTAAAATTCATCATCAAATGTCTAGGAACCATCGTAATGTCTTTCAATACATGAAGACGCTATTGGATAGATCTTTTTCATATTCTGTTCTTGTACATATCATATTCTACTTACATGTATATAGACTTTTTCCACTACTTTTTATTTTGTATTTTATTATATATGTCGGAGGAGCTTTCATTGCCATTTCTACACTGTAGCTTTGTGCATATGACAATAAAACCTTTTTGAATCTTGAAATAAACATTTAGAATATTTTAGGCCACGTAGCAGTGTTGATTAGAATCAACTCTCACTGTCATTTACACATTTATTACAGTGGTGGCTTTGAATTGGATCGGTCAAATCTTTAAATATACAGAACATAGTAAGAAAGTGTCTTGTTTGTGCATTTCCCCCCCAGGCTCTTGAGAAGAACCAGCAGTGGCTGGCGTACGACGCGCAGAGAGAAGGCTACGTCCAGTCGGTCCTCGCCCGCACGCTGGAGTTGGAGCAGCAGCTGGCCAAGCAGCAGCCAATCAGACAAGAGACCTCATCAGATGGTGAGGAAGAAAGGGGGGATTTGAAAACAAACACAAGCGCTTTGATGCATACGGTGCGGGAAATGAAAATGGGGATATGCAGTTTCAGATATTATTTTATAGGCCAACATTAAAGACTTCGGGCGGGGAAACCAGATGAAAAAAGATTAGATTGGTAATTACTGGAATTAGAAATATTAGCAACAACAGCAGCACTGATGGCTGTTTTGATGAGCCAATTCAATCCTCAAACCTTCTGTAAACCTTTCACATAGACGATGCTTAATACCAAACATCTTCTCAGATTAGTGGGTTGTTTACTCACACTTCTTATCTCTACTCCTGCCAATTTAGCAGTTCCAGAGAAGGACGCTGAGCTGAAGCGGCACTATGAGCAGCAGCTTTTGGGGGTGCAGAACAACCTGGAGAGGCAAAAAGATCAGGCTGCCAGAGGCCAGGAGGAGCTCAGTGTGCAGAGGGAACAGGTAAATGTCATATACACTGTATTGCTTATTTTGTTATATTCCTATTAACAGGATTCCATTTTCTGTCTAATTCTCATATACCACTTTTTCTGGCTTCTGCTGCTCACATTACGAAGACACCTCGCAGTGTCCTTTGTACACATGTATTCACATTCCCTCTGTTAAAAAGTTTGGATTAGTACATCATCCGCATGCAACTTCACTAACCCAATTCCATTTCTACAGTCCTTGGATTCAGGCATCTTTAGAATTTAAGAACTCAACAGAAGTATAAACAGTTTTGAAATGTGTTTTTTTGGGGGGGGGAAAATGTATATTTGCAGATGTTGAAAGCTCAGGCGGAGCTGCGGTCTCAGAAGGAGCAGGTCAGCCGGCTGCAGGAGGAGATGGCGGCGCTGCAGAGGAGGTACGAGGACAAGAGCAGCGAGCTATCGTCGTTTCTGAGGAGGTACGAAGAGAAGAGCAAAGAGTCGCAGGACGTAAAGATGCAGCTGCAGGCGGAGCGGCACAGCAGCAGGTCAGAAGTCTTCTTTTCTTGTAGAAACCTAATCAGCCACAGTTTATCTCCAAACGTGACATCTGGTGCAGAGAAACTTCATCGGCTCATGATAAGAAAAGGCCAAAGATCCAGGGTATTTAAATACCTCTTCTTCAATTTGTATCTTTTCTTAAATTCTCAGTTGGTCCACAACTCAAGCCAAAAACAGATTGAAGTGTTTTTCCTGACTTGTATGATAGGTTGACAAATACAGAGTGGAGAAGCTGAATAACACTTTCTTAATGTGCCGACAATAACGGCAGCATATGGGTTTCAAACTAGAACTGTTTTTCAAGGATTTTATTTTTTATTTGTACATAGCTACAGTGTAGATATGTCAATGAAAATCTTAGGTCACAGGCTCCTCCAACAGTGCAACACACATTTGAAGTGCTATTTAAATTATTCTTAATATTCATGTGGGATACATAAACACTGCACACAGACATGTAGTGAGCGAGGAGAGAAAGGTGTTGTCTGAGCGCTCAGACAGGATGAGGATGGAACTGGAGAGCATGGACACGAGACTGGAGGAGGAGAGGAAGAGATCTGCTGAACTTCTGCTGCAGGTAACCCTCAAAATCCAATGTTAATTTGAATGGAAAGGGATTTCAATGTTGTGTTTTTACTCAAGTGTTTATTTGGCTTCCACAGGTGAATATGCTGCAGAAATCTCTACTGAGCCAAAATGAAGAACAGAGGAGAATCGCAGCGTTGGAGCAACAGGTAGATGCTTTTAAGAAAAATAGCTCAAATCTCTATCAAACCAGCAATTCCCATTTGCACAAATGGAGTGTTCATTAGTAATGAAAGTAGTAACTGTTGTGTGAGTGACTATCATCTGTTAAAGTAGTGAAATCTACCCCTCCTTAGATCCAGCTCTCTGCCAAGGACTCTGAGAATGAGAAGGTTGATCGTCAGAGCATGCAGCACCAGTTACACAAGGTGCTGAAGGAGCTCCGCAGGGCCCGCGATCAGATCACTAAACTGGAGACTGTTGTAAGTGTTACTACTAGACATCATGACCCCTTGTATATTGTTTTGGCTTTTATAGGTTCATGTTAAAAATCTAAAAAATCCCTAAAAGATAAAGAACAGATGTTGGCTGTACATATGCTTTTGTTCATAAACATTACAAAGCTTTTAAAGGTCAGATCTGCACTTCTGAAAGTTGAATTATACACGTTTTAGCTGACGTTCCAAATGCTGAATTATTATGTTTTGTGTTTCAGAAACCGCCAAGCTCCCGTTTCTCTGAGCCCAGCTCCTACAATAATTTTGAGTTTGATCACCTGACCATCCACGACTCTGCCGGACCTACGTCTCCGTCCAAAGTCCCCAACCTCCTGGATGAGAGTTTCCTGGAGTGCCCCAAGTGCCGGGCCTCCTATCCCACCAGCCGCCACAGGGAGCTCCTGGCGCACATAGACTACTGCCTTGCCTGAATTAATACATAGCCTAGGTGATTGGTTCCTTCCCAAGAGAGGGGCAGCAAGACAGCAAAGCTACCCTCACAACACAAGCAATTATTTTATTTCTTTAGGCTTCTTTAATGTTGTCAGACAGAAAAGGAAACAAAAATCACCATTTGGTTAACCTGGTAGTGTTGATATGCAGTCTGAGTCAGTGGGGGGCATTGCCTCCTTTTTATAATGGGTCACAAAACATACACCACTGAAGCTCTAAACACATTACTCCTAGCAAAAACGAAAAATATATGTAGGTTGTTTACATGGTTGCCAATCCATTGTTTGTGTGAACTTCTAAAAGCAGATTAAATAGCTAAATTCTCTCATGCAAGATGATTAGATTGAAATAATGCCGCTGTTGTGAGAACGATGCAGCATGGATTGGTCAATTGGATGGCTTGAATAAGCATGTTGACTCCAAGTGATATTCAAATGGTGATTTTATATAAGTGGGTTAAGGTCCAAACAGCTAGTACAACGGGGTTATTATGAATATACAAGTACATTTTCAACAGTTTTTAAACATTAATGGGAATTAAGGGACATTCTTATAATGCAGATTACATAACCACCGTAAAACTATTTATAAGTGATCATGATAATTTAAAGAAATGTATTCCAGTGTTTTTTGCCGTTTGAAGACCGTCAGGCCAAAGATCGATTTGATATTCCTTCCATATGTTTACTTCTGGGGTCTTCCTGCTTCGTTTCGTGAGTACAGTATTTTCCTTCACGGCAAGATCTTATAGAATTGTATTTTTGTGTGCGTTTGATGTAATTATTTATTCTTGGGTTATTTTTAAAGTGAGCTACTGTCTTTTAAGTGAATAAATGCTTATGATAATGTATTTCTGTACAATTTTCCGCGATTGCGTTCTTTAATCATGAATTTACCTTTATTGTATTTGATGAACGTTTACAAACCTGACTATAGCAGTATCTTTCAAACCAGCTGTAAACATACCGCTGATACACTCCTAGTTTCAGTAATCAATACATTTGGTGTTTTTGTGTTTTTTCTCAGTATATTAAAGGTATTTGTGCATTGTTTGGAAGAAAGAGAAATTACCCAGAAGCAGCCATTATCATTGTTCATTGCCAGTATTGAGATGACATAAAAAGGATACATTAAAGTATAGCAGTGTTTCTCTTCGCTGATAAACATGACTGAGACATTCCTCCAACATGTAGTGGGATTTGCCTCAGCTGAGCGGAGCATAAATATACTGTACAGGAGTTTAAATGGTCACATGGTGCCAGGTTGTCCTCCTATTCCTCCTCGTTAAAGTGAAGCTCATTTCAACTTCCACCTTCACTTTTCAAGCCCGCAGCTCTGTAGGCTGGAATGAGATTGCATGAGATAATTCCTTGTACTCAACTATTTAAGGCAGGGGATTAGTAAATGTCCTCCTGGTTGAGGGAAGGGGTTAAGTTGATTTTATTCCTGCCATCTTGGCAATGTGACTCAATGGACTTAAAACAGACAGACGCTTCTATGCTGTCTTCTTTTAGATCACTGTTTTGTTTTTGCATGGCATGACTTTTGCATTTGTTATTTTTAAAAGTCCTCTATTTTATTTGTATCATGTGCTCCAAAGTTGTTTTGCTGTGCACTGTACTGTATTAAAGTGTGCAATAAAGATTTAAATCTCCACTCAACACAACATTCCTTTGTGTACTTTTGGTTGAGTTTTTTTGGCACTAATGTTGTTGTAAATAGTGAACTATTGCTCAATTTCTAAATTGTCTAAAACAAGAAGTACATTTTCAAACTGATGGGAAATCAGTGTGACAATGTACCCAAACGTTTATTATAAGTTAGTAAACCTTTCCTTGCTTTGTATGTTTTTGGTGCAAGTTAAAAGTAGATACTTTTCAAGTCAAGGCTGCGACAGGTTGATGAGTTGGTGAGTCTCGTCTTTTGTTGTCCACTCAACTGAAACGTGCTGTACTGAAAGGATTAGGTATAAGTGTGTTCCAATTACCATCAAGCTAAAGAAACCCATTATGATGTTTAGTTTATAGTTATTGGTCATCGTATTCTGCAAACTAACACGTTTTTAATGGAGAAAACATGTTTGAATATCTTGAATGCCTTGTTGTTAGCAAAGACATACGACGATGGTAAAAGATCAGCTGTGAAAGAAGCAGGACTTTGAGCAAAACTGCTCACGAGCAGGTTCACCATGTTCATCATTGAGTTTGAATGCTAACATTAGCTGCTTAAGGCATAAACACAACGTCATATATTGGAGAAGAAAATCTGATTTTAACAAAATCATGGCAAATGTAATGTTTGATTATTCATCCTGAGGCAAGCATGCCTGTACAGACTTTCTATTCAATGGTCATCGAGGCATTGCCTTTTGTTGTTCAAATATTCAGAGAACTATGAATGTCTGTCCAGCAGATGTTGACATATCTTTTTGGATATGTAAAAACTTAGAGGCAGAAGTCAGACAGTTTTAGGCAACTCAACAAACCTATATCACAGAGATAGACATAATGTGATATATACTTATTATGTAAACTATTTGAATAGTCCAATAAAAACGTGTTGAGTTAGGTGTTTATATTATAGGAAGCTGTTTGTGAAAGCAAATTTCACCCTGTTGCTTTATTTAATATTTGAACTCTCCTCACAAAATGAAGCATTTACTTGAATTTTGATGTATTTTTTATTGAATCCATAGCAAAACATCAGTTCATCATTTGCAATCCTATAATACAGAAAAATTGTTTAAGGCAATCAAATATTGAGTGAACCGACACATATTGAAAGTTTTATTTCCCAAAACTGGATCAAGAGGTATACATTATACAATCAAGTTACAACCAAACTAATAGACCTTTAGAGCAGATGACTAAATGTGTAGGTATTTAGGTTTATTAACAATATCTGATTTTGTGCTACAAGATACTGCACGTACTTCAGTGTAAACGCAAGCCAGTGACTTGTGAACCTGGTTTTGTGTTAGACATGGTGCTAATAGCTGCGTATTTGCAATAATGCAGATAATTCAGCTTCACTTTAGAACCTACTTATTCCTCACAATGGCCTGAAGAGCTCCAAAAGTAGATTTTTAGTGATCTGATATGTTCCGTTTACTCACAGTAAGAAAATTCCATTTAAGAAGGCTGTTTCAGATGTTGATGATAGGAGTAAAATGTTAAAAGGCCCATAATCTTCTGTACTAATAGGGACATTTTGATAAAGTGACAACAAACCAGCATCCACAGTAATCCTTCCCTTCTGTTCACAATTAGGTCATGTGAGTGTATTTATAGTTTGCCATTTTAAACGAATAATGGGCTGCTTTCTCTGTTAGGAAAAACAAAGACAGCAGAGGAGGGACCATTTTGGTGGGAGTCAGTCCAAGACATCAGAGGGGGTTGGGGGGAGGGGGGGGGGTCACATCGTCGTATGTAAACAGATCAGCTGCTATCACAGAAGCCTGCAGTGGGAAGAAAAAAACATTTTGCTTACAAAAAACTTTGAAATAAACCAAAAAAGGATCTAAAAATACAAAACACAGCATTTGAATGTCTTAAAAATATGATAAATCTTAACAGCTGTAATGGTATTGCTGAAAGTACTGATAAAGAGGTTTCTGAATATGTGCATTTTATTTAAAAAAGTGAGCATCTAGGTGAACTCACCAGTGTGTGAAACGCGTCTGTATTTGCCCAGCAGGCAGAGGTCGGTCTTCTTCTGGACCACATTGCGCTGGTCCTCCGGCCTCAGACCGGTGGGATGGCGAGAGAAAATGAAGGAGTAAGCGTCCAGGCAGGTGCCGTCAGAATCCACCAGTCTGCACGAGTAGTGGATCGCGTAGTTGTCGTAGTCGGTGTCAATGACCCAGTGGTCATCGTCTGAGTGAGGAGAAAGGAGAAAGGGATGAGATGTCTTGCATGGTAAGGCCAAAATAAATTGATTGATTATCAATTTTTAATAGAGACACAACAATGGCAGAACATGCTGTTTTCATTCTCTGTAGTATGGAGATTTCTCTGCTTTATATTGATGTTAAACTGAAAATAATTTTAAAATACCAGTTTGGACTTTGCAAAACCAGCTTCGACCTTTTGCACTATTTTCTGGCTTTAATAGACAAATTGATTAATCTAAAAAATAATCAGCAGATTTGAGGAGAATAAAGATGATCCTTTCATGTTGACCTATAAAACACGAACAGAAGTACACAAACATCTCTAGCTAACTCACACATTGCACAATCGTCATTGATGTGTGTTTGAAACTTCAGACTTTGTGCTTTTTGATTATCTCTCTTTCACATTGATCTTTTTCTCTTTCAAGTGAAATCAAGCACTCTGTCATTTTATACAAACACAGTGCTGGGAGATAAGCGTCCCATGACAGCATTATCAAGTCAACAGATGATGCAATTATATAGATACAGTATAGATGATATAGGGAATACTACAGTTGATACAGAAACTCAAAATTTACTTAGTAACACTTTGAGTCAGCACTGGGGTCAGTTTGAGATATAAAAGATAGCATTCCATTAATTTGCCTTCATGGAATGGTACACCTAATGACATTTGGACCTCTTTCCAGTAAGCACTTGTTTTTGATTGATTCTCAAGGGTCACAGAATATCGAGTTTTGCAGTTGATGATTCCATTAAATCATCAGTTTTCTAAACCAGTGACTCTAACTGGCAACAAAAAAAGGCTCTGCTAATAAGGTCCTTTGAACTTCCCCCAACTTACTTCCAGTCTGCAGGTATGAGGCGGCTCCCCAGTACTTCATCCTGAACTTAGCGGGGTCAGGGGTTACCTCAAAGGTGGCCAACATGTCAGCACACATTTCCCAGTTGCTAGATGTCAAAAAGAGAAGAATATGTTTTACGAAATATGTGAGACAAAATGGAGCTTGTTAAGCCTTTTATAGAAAAGAACAGAACTCACTTCAGGATGATCACTCTGCCCTTAGCAGTGGCGGTCATTGAGCCATCCTCTGCTATAGTAAATTCGGCCACGATGTTGTCAATTAAGAACAAACCCTCTGGGTCCTTCTTTGCAACCGCGTACCATACCCCTGTATACTAAGAGTAAGAAATCCAAGTGTTAGTCGGCTTCACTCTATGTTTTTCATTAAAGTAGGCAAATTACCATATACAGTGTCATTAGTATTACACTGTCCTCACACACAATAACATTCCTGTGCATGTCTTATGAAAAAAAGCTTTGAACAATACGACAACGTAAATGATCATTAAACATTTTAGACTTTTAACTCACCCTTGTCTTGTCGAAGTTCTGCATGACCTGGACGCTGGAGACCTGGCAGTCCTGTGCCCAGGACACAGCCAGGAGGCAGAGGGCCACAGCGTAGTGCAACATTCTGTCTCAGAAGAAGGAACAAAGGCAGAAACCAAGGAAGAAGGAAATAGGTAGGGGGGGAGAGTTTGAGAGAAAAGGCATAGCAGAGACAGAAGAGTGAGCCACATTGCCAAGTCCTCCAGTAAAGTAGAGGGTAATACATTCCATTGTCTATCTATGTGCTGCAAACTATTTGTACATTTTTAAACAAAAAAAACCCTTCAAAAAGATATCAAAGTTGTTTTAAAAAAGTGAGAACAATTTCGCAAAAGCTTCAACCATTGTCTTTCAATTTCCGGTTAAAATGTTCAAACATAAAAAAGAAGTCCATTGTTAGAGCCTACCTGTTAATCGAAGTGGAGAGCTGACAGAAATCTTCAGGTTTTCTGTCAAGGCCTTATATATAGTTGGTTAGTGTTGCATAATGACTTCCCCCGCACTCCCCACAGCTAGCTTGCCTTCCATTGGATAAACATTTACACAACTTCAGGCCCAGTCCAATTGATTTGTTTGTTCTGCACATTTGGCCCGCCACCCTCTCTGTACTCCACCCCAAAACATTTTCATGAGGCTTTTTTCTTGGTCTTATGAAAGCAGCTGCTAGCAAATCCAAGAGAATAATCTGGAAAAAGACATACAATGCTGTAGAGACACACACTTTTATTCATTCTGATGAATACAAACAGCATTCAATTGTAACTGTTTGCATGCATGGGCTTAATCGACCTTTCTGTGAAAACAACTGGATTGCACTTAATGCATGTTTTTTCTTCAGTGCATTTTTCCCGGCAGCATCCTTATGATTACATCAGCTCTTTACTTGATTATGCTATCAAAGGGATATTTAATGACTCTGTGTTTGTATAAATGGTGAACAGAGGGCTCAAATCCATTTTAAAGAGTAAATAATCAATGTAAAAGAGAGACAAGTCTGGAGCTTCAAACACCAGTCGATGATGAAGGGATAACTTAGATCAAAATGTATTTGCACAGACACTTTTGTGTACTTGTACGAGTCCAAGAGAGCTCAGTGTGCTGAAGCGAATAGCTCCCATCATGAAGCAATCTTTATTTCCCTTTTTTTCTTAAAACATTGTCTTTTAAAAAACAAAGTCCAGTTTTTGATAGCTTTCTAACTTGTTGTATTAAACTCAGTACATCATTCACACTCCAAGCAAGTTAAGAGAAGTATGGTAAAACTACTCGGTAATACACGGCTGTATTTCCTTTTATACACTGATGCTGTTGTTTTGCACTGAGCTCAAGTCCTCTGAGGGCTTGCTTGAACAAAAAAGAGCACAGCACA